CTATTTTGTATTCGCTTACTTTTTGTCAGGCCGGACATTATCGATTCGGCTATTCTTCGCCCAGGTCGTCTTGACCAATTAATCTATATACCTCTTCCTGATGAGGCTAGCCGTCTACAGATCTTCAAAGCGAATCTTCGTAAAACGCCCATTGCGACAGTTAGTTTGTATTTGTCTTTAAGGTGGTTGGAAGTTGATTAAGGTGAATGAAAAGTTTAATTCTTTACAGACAATTAAATTAAGGATGTGGATTTAACATACCTGGCTAAGACAACAGTTGGTTTCTCAGGCGCTGATTTGACAGAAATTTGCCAGCGGGCGTGTAAATTAGCAATCCGTGAAAGCATCGAGAAAGAAATTCGCCATGAAAAGGAAAAACAAGAACGCCGTGCTCGAGGTGAAGAGCTTATGGATGATGATGCCTATGATCCAGTACCAGAAATTACTCGTGCACACTTCGAAGAGGTCCATCTTGATTTAAATATAATAGCAAGCATTGGCTGCTTATATGCAATCTTCCTTATTCATTTAGTATTTGGAAAATTTTCTTCATTCTTTGCTGTACTGTACGTCTTGTATTTATTTATTAATTAGTTCTGAGTCTATAAATGATGGTTGCAGTATTTTTTAGTTCTTTTTCTGAATTCAGATACATTTTAACTTTTTTTTTCAGGCAATGAAATTCGCCCGTCGTTCGGTTTCGGACAATGATATCCGTAAATATGAGATGTTTGCGCAGACATTGCAACAGCAACGAGGCTTTGGAACTAATTTCAAGTACATCTGCTTTTTTAGAAAAATCCGTTCAACCATAACTTTACTGCCCACGACTTGCTAATTATGTTTTCTAGCTTTCAGGAAATGATTATACACTGATTACTGATTTGATATGTAAGTTTTAAATCAAATTTCGTTTTTTTTAGGTTCCCAAATCAAACAGGAGCATCCTCAAATCCAGGACAGCCAACGGGATCATCTGGAGCTGGAAACGATGATGACGATTTGTATAGTTGAAATGGTGTGAATGGATCTTCCTTCCGTTCTCATTTCCGTCAATTGTTTTGGAATTTCCAGTTTGCGGAAATTTTTCCCGTCAATTCATGCTATGTGGAATTGTTTTGTTTGCAACATATTTAAAATCGAGCTGCTTGACAGTTTCATTTGTTCCTCTTTTCCAAATTGTTAACGTAGGCACCCGTTTTTCTTTTTTTTTTTTCAAAAACAATTGTTAGCTTTGTTGTCGAAATGAACGGATGTCGATTTCGTTGGCATGGCTCGGAAAGTTTTTTATAAATACTTTGTACGCTACTGTTTTGGTTAACTAATTGGAACCACATGTTTTTGCAGAAGTAATGCCTGATTATCTATGTACGTTGTGTTCTGCATCTGTAAACGACACTTGTCATAAAATTTATTCTTTTCGTTGGTGATTTCAGTTTACATTCATTTGAAGTTTACGGGGAAGATTCTTTTGAGGGAAAGTATTAAAGGCAAAGGTCGCAGATATATCGCATACATTTGAAACAAAATAGCGAGGTATTTTGTATGCGTGGCGTACGTTTGAGCACATCCCATTCTAAACCCGAGTATTTTTAAACTCGTCTATTCATTTACTTATGACTGCATACAAAAGCTACGATACGCTACTTACACAACGTAACCCATCATCGGGAAATTTGAGAAAATAATGTCGGTAATTTTCATGCTTGACACATATATACCAATTTTATGGAAGAAGCGGAATAGTTTGATAAGAAGTCTTTCGAACGTGAATTGCGGTGCTGGACTATTAATTGTAGCGAAAAAGTTCGTCATATTAAATTTACAAGTGAGCAACAACTGCTATATTAAATGAGGAAATGGTGGAATCCCAAGTTAAGAGAGTATACATAAATTCTTCAAGGTTATAAGAAATCTAAAGCTTCTTCGTTATTGTACAATGGATGAATTGAAGTATTCCAGTAAGATGACATGTTTTACCATAAATTTTAACTGACTGACTATGCATTTATGCGATTTTAAGATTTTTAGAATTTGCTTTAATGAAATAATCAGTCAGACGTTACAGTTGATGCCATTAAAATTGCAGATGCTTTAGAATAGTTGGATACGAAGCAATTCTCTTTAAAAATCGCTTCTATTTAACAGGATGATTAAAGATATTAAAATATGTCGTTTAAAATCATTTTGAATATTAAGATATATTAAGGGCAGAATTTTAAGGG